TGTTAAGGTTACATAAAAATTATATCAAACTTCATATTTTCTTTTTACTTTTGTATTGTCTCATAGTCGTGTTCTCGTTTCTTTTCTAATATTCTCTTTTTACTTTTTTATTGTAGGAGATATGGTTCATAAACGGTTTCAAAACATGGAGAGTACTTTCCGTGCAAATGAGCGAAAGATAAGAGAATCAAAAGCTCGTTGTAGTGGCAAAGGGACAGATGAAATTTATAAACCAAAGTGGGATTATTATGATTTGCTCTCGTTTTTAAAGAAAACTTGCGTACAGACCGACAGTATTGACAATTTATGTTTGCAAAGTCAGAGTTCCCAAAGTTCGCAAAGTTCTCTGTTCAGTCAAGAAGCAATGAGTTCACCTATTTCTCCTTGTAGTGAAAACTCATCAATGTTTATAAATGTTTATTATGACGAAAACGCACAAGTGAGTGTTACTTTTATTTCATTTTGCTTGTTTTAAAATCAGCGTCACCAATATAAGAATGAATTTTTATTTTCAGCAATATATATCCATTCCACCTGATTCATCGGGATCTAGCAATATAGTAGATACAAGTAATAATGAAACACCATCCCTTATACATTCCGAATCATACATCTCAGCAGAGCCCAGTTTAAACAGGTCTATATCAAATACCACTGCATCTAGCACCAAGCAATCCCAATCGGTAATAAGTAATATGGCATCTCGAATGGCTACTCCTCCACTTAGACCTGAAGGTGCTCCAATAAAAACTAAACGTTTAGAGAAACGTTCAGAAGAACCAATATATGTAAAACGAGGAAGTTCAAAAAAGTTTAATATAATGGAAGAGGCTGTGGATGCCATAAAAAATATGGCTCAACAAGATTTGTCTCCTAAAACGGATAGATTTGACATGCTTGGTGGATACGTTGCATCTAGGCTTCGATCAATGACTTCTGAGGATCAAGTGTACTATGAAAGAGAAATTTTAAAAGTATTGACTCAAAGATTGGATTAACTGTTGTTTAATATACTGACATTGTGACTAATTGACATATAACTAATTAGATAAAATAGATTAATATAACAGATATTTGTATTACTCTTAAGTTGGTACTTATTGTTAGTTAAATGATTTTTATTTTCATATCGATTTTTATTTTCATATCTTTCGACTTATATTTTTATTAGTTACCAAAGAGAAAGAGTATATCTATTGATTTTAAGTTACTATATTACATAAATGGGCCTGCTGGCAAAATTTAATTTTAACATTGTTAAGAAACTCCGTTCTTTTATTAAAATCTCTGTAAGATTGTGCTAAAAAAATAAATAAAGAATATATTTTTTAAAGCAAAAAAAA